ATTGAATTAGCAGATGATGATGTCAGCAGGCAAGATTGGCTCACTCACACGAGCAATCGCCCTTGGCGCTTGGGAGCGAGCAAGGATTGAGATTGGTGGTTTATTTTATTGGAGCCAAGAGAGGCGTAAATCACCACTATGTATGTCGCCTTGGTTATAACCAAGATGAGGTCGTGTTAAGGACCAAACATGGATGTTAGTACCCACTTTCCATGTTGTGCTTGTTATGATTAGCCAGATTCGAGATCACATTTGGCGCCTAGAAGGCGAGCAAATAGAGAATTCGGGTTAGGTGCTAGAAAAGGACTAGACTAATATCTGTACGGTGTATTGAGTATGACGTCACTCTTTATGGAAGAGTTACTCCACCGTAGCATGTATTCATACTATATGTGCTTGGAGACCGAGTAATGAGGTGAGAGAATGGATCCCTGCTTCCTCACCGTGTGAGTCTTACGTGTCATTATTGATATGACTTTCATTTATGTACCCTTTTGTGACTTTTGACTATGTCATAAGGTAAGGGGTTGATGTTCTGCTACTTTGGTATGTTGCCTGCGGTCATGCATGATTTCGGCCTTAAGGGACATCACTGGGAAAGCGGTCAATCCTAAACTAAATGGCATGAGTGCAAAGGGAAGATCATCTAGTATTACACCATTGTTGTATATTCACTGCCGGCAACTCACATCGCTCTGTATGAGAGGCGAATTGAGTTGGAATATATTGCAAGAATTGAGAGGGTCAAACATGCTCTTTTTGAGGGATTAGAGATGTTTTTTGGACCGGTGTAATTAGATGGGTCTGGGGTATATGAGACACTATTTCTTTTCTTTTTGGTTGATGTCTCTATGCTGGCTCATTTTGAGTTTCTAGTATAGAGCTCCCACATGCAGGTGTTCTCAGCAGTCGCACGGTGCAGTGGCTAGTTATGAGATTGTTTATTTTTGGGGAGATTGAGATTGAGACGTGGCAGTGTCATGCCAACTCATGTCTGAGTGGGAGATGTTAGAAATTGGGCGCCCATGTGGCATGACCCTTAGAACCTTTTGGACCTCATCCAAATGGGTTTTGAATATGTACTTGAGTTTATAAATATATTTTTTTGTATTTTTTATATTTAGTGAATTTTTTAAAGATTTTTTTCTACAAATATTATACTTTTTAAGTGTATTTATGTTAGGTGTGCCTAAAAATTAAAAAAATTGCTTAAAATATTAAAAAATTCAGTAAAAAAAATACGAAAAATGAAAAATGTAAAATTTCCTGAACAGTGAATTCTGAAAATTAAAAATAAACCGAGTGAATAGTAGTCATGTAGGTTATGTTGACCACTCCTAGATTTGGTACTTTTACATAAATAATAATGGTAAAAAAGTCTAAAACTTTGCAAAAAATTTGAAAAAAGAAAAAGAAAAAATAAATGTGAGTAAAAACCTTATAAAAAAATGCATGAAATCTAATTTATGAGTAAAAACCATATAAAAAAATGTGATTTACCATAATGCATTTTAACAAAAATATATTTATAACCACAATTTAACTTTTTATTTTTTATATTTTTTATTGTGAATCACTAGAAATTATCTCGTAGATTAGGAAGATCGCATGCTCATGTGCGTGACTAGTGAAATATTATAATTTGTCTATGTAAATCAAAACCCAAAACATGCAGCGGAATAAAATGTTTAGATCATACCTTTTTTTTGATCTAAAACCTTGTGGATAAATCACGTGTTTCCTGAATCTAGTCAATCAACCCAGCAGTGAAGTGATATTACAATATTGAATGTCACCCACACAAACCACGGTGCAAATGGCTTTTATCGTTATTTTGGGAGAGAGTCAGTATCTTAAAAAAAACAAACATACGTTGTTTTTCCACTTAATCACCCATATCCCATATATCAGATATATAATCTATTTATCTCATTTATCCATTTGTTAAATGAGATAATATCTGATATCTATATCATCTATCCATATCATGATATGATAGATATATATGCTGAGTGGCTATCCAAATAGGTTTGAATTCAAATTCAAAACCCATTTGGATGAGGTCCAAAAGGTTCTAAGGGTCATGCCACATGGGCGCCCAATTTCTAACAGTCTACTATCTCCTTATTATTAAAGTCATATATTCATTTAATTTCTTACTATTAGTTGAGCACATAACTAATATAAAATTCTTGAAAGATAAGATAATTACTTGTGAATCACAATTTAACTTAAAAAGAGAAAAAATAAAATAAAAATATACATCAATTTTTTAATATATTAAATAAAAAATAAAAAAACAATAACAATAATTGAGGCTAAAGAGGCTTAAAAAAAACAAAAAACAAAAAAAAGGCATATCTGTTTGTGTCGTGTGTGATGTACGTGGAAGAAAATGAAAATTGTATGGTCAGCCTTGAATACCACGCGGACTGGGTATGCTTATATTCGTCTCATCCTTTCCTTTCCTTTCCTTCCCACACGCATTTACCAAACAAAAGAAAGGCGTGGCACACGTGTTGTAGAATTTTATTTATTTTTATTTTTCAAACACGTTGATTTTGATATTTATTTAGGACTCATTTAAAAAGTTAGATATTTTAGTACCTCATTTAATTTATGGCTGTTTTAATAGGCTTAAATATTTATATTTGAAAAAGGCAGTGCTTTGGTCCAGTCCAAAATCGGACTGGACCGTATTGTTGGGCTCGTTGGGGCCTACTACGGGTCCCATTTTGATAATTCAAACCGTTCAATGTGTAGAACTCGTCGAGTACTATATGTCTGTAAAAAATCACGTTGATCGGATATCGATAGCTATGTGAACAAAACAGTTTTTTATCAACCGTTAATTGTTTCGCCGTCCATTTTTTTT